ACATAAACCTTAAGAGTGGAGGGCATACTGCCGCCGTCCATTCGTTGTTGCAAAAAATTCAGAATGTCAGACACGGGGCAATTTCCCGGGTCCCGACCATTCGATTCACACCATCTCTCAAACACTGCCCATTTACAAGTGTACAGGCGTCTCGTAGAAGTGGCTCGCGCCTCCGTAATCGTGTCCATCACGCGGCGAGACAACGAACCCGGGTTTACCGGTTCCAGCACACCATCCACACCTGAAGTTTCCACCATTCTGGGTTGGGGTGCCATACCGAGCCGTCCGCCTGAGACAAGAGATCCCGTCTCAGCGGGATCGGCCACGGGGGAGCCGTTAGTATTTCCAGCAGATCGGGAAACCAGGGCCTGTTCGGCCAGTACGGAGCAACTAATAACACTGACGCCTTCTCCTCTCCTCCTCAACGGGGGGAATGCATACAGATGGGCATTCGGCATCGTGAGTGCGTCCCCGCCTAGGGGAGAGCGTGACAGAGAGAAGAACAGAGGGCAATGCGTGTTCACCTCTGTCGCAAACAAATCTACCTCCGCTTTCCCGAACCGTTCCCAGATCAGCCTCACTGTCCCAGGGTTCAGTCTCCATTCTCCATGAGGAATCCCGTCCCTCAATAGCATATCCGCTCTGCTGTTCAGGCAGCCTGGAACATGCGCTGCTCGAATGGAGAGCAGATGTTGATCGGCCCACAGCAAAAGGTGTGCTGCCTGTCTGTAAAGGGCTCTCGAGTATAATCCGCCCTGGTGGTTTATGTACGATACCAGCGACATGTTGTCCGTGCGAATCAATACGTGATGCCCCCGGACTTGCGTGAGGAAACTCAGAAGAGCCAAAAAGACCGCTCTCAGCTCGAGGCTATTTATGTGCCACGTTCTCTCTGACTCTGTCCAGTAGCCCGAGGCCAGTACGCCGTCGCAGTCAGCTACCCAGCCCGTCGTCGATGCGTCCGTCGTGACCACTTTCCGCCGCGTGACCAGACCCATCTGGGCACCGCATTGGTACAAGTCGGGGTTTTGCCATGGTTTCAGTGCGTTCAAGCATCTGCAAGTGACCACAACGCAGGCATGCCCGTTTTCCACGCCCTTCTCGGTACTTGTGTCTTCAGCCATATCTGGAGGGGGCGCGTTTAGAGTAGGCCGAGGTGACAGACCGTCGTGGCCGCCACCATCCACCCCAAGAGCCTCTAATATTCCTTCAGTGCTACGGGACGGCCCAGCCTAAATGCTTTCAGAGCGGACATTAAATCTAGTATGCGCTCCTGGCTCAGACGCGCTCTCATCGAGATTGAGTCCAACTGCACCCCCAGATACATGATTGACAGGCTGGGGCATAACACGCTTTTCTGTTTGTTCACACAGAGACCTAACCTCTCCAGGTGAAGTAACAGAGCATGTTTGTGGCTGTTGAGCACATCCTCCGAATGGGCCAAGCCCAGCCAATCGTCCAAATAATTCAATATGCGTATTCCGCTCGCTCTCAGAGGGGAAAGTGCTGCATCCACACATTTCGTAAATGTACGTGGCGCCAGCGCTAGCCCGAATGGCATCACCGTGAACTGATACGCTATGCCTTCGAACACAAATCTCAGAAAGTGCCTGTGACGAGGGGCGATCTGGATATGAAAGTATGCGTCTTTCAGGTCCACCGAAGCAAACCAATCTCCGGGTCGAATCTGCGCGAGCATCAGCTTTAGCGTTTTCATTTTGAAAGCGCGTTTGTATAATGCACGGTTGATGGGTCTCAGGTCTAAAATATGGGATGGAGACCACCATCTTTCTTTGGAACGACAAAGTACCGGCTGTAAAACCCGCTCTCTCTCTCTCGCTCGGCGAAACCACTTCTATCTATTGCATTTTGAACATACACAACACAGACATTCCCGTAGTCGCCTGCAACAGCCAAGGGGAGTTCGCGGTGGGCTCGCCGCTCTCCTCCTCTGCAACGTCCCGTCAGGAACGAGGCTTCTGTTCCGGCGGGGGAGCTCCCCCTGGACGGCCACCTTTCTTGAAGCCGTGACGCCCCTTCTGTGTCCTCTGCCACGGAGTTTTGGCATGAACAGATGGCTCTGGGTCCGACGCTGATGAAGCTGAAGCAGAGGGGGGTCGCTTCTACGGCCAGTTGGAAGCAGATGAGGATCTACTACATGCAGGGGGCTGCGCTGCAGCCCGGTGCAGCAGGAAGTGACTCATTGCCTTGAAGCGCTTCTGTGCCCCTGAGAAGCGCTCCGCGATAGCCTCCACCGCGTCTCCAAAGAGGCCAGATGGAGATACAGGAGCGTGGAGTAGCGCCCTCCTGTCCGCGTCTTTAAGCTCAGTGAGTGTCAACCACAGATGCCAGTGGAGCACCACCATGTAGCCCATGCTCCGTCCGATCGCCCGGGCCGTCTTATTTTTGGCTTTAAGTGCAAAATCCATTGCCGCTCGTAGATCCTTAAACGCCTCGGGATCCGCCCACCCTCGTCCAGGGATTTCAGGAGCTGTGCCTGAAAAACTTGGAGCACTGCCATTGTGTGCACCAATGAGATCGCTTCTCCCGAGGCGGCGTACGCTTTGTCCGCAACGTGTGCGGTCAGACGGCAGGGCCTTGATGGCAGCGTAGCACCCGTCTTCAGGGAAGCAGAAGAGGGGCAGAGATGCGCGGCGATGGATTCCTTGACGGGTGGAATGCGCGAATATGTCCTCGGGCTTCCGCAACGTCGACTTTAGTGAAGATCTCCGACCCACCAGCCGATTGGGGCGCAGCCCACGCCTTAGCGACCTCGTCGTACGCTGCCTCGGCAAGTCGGGGAGGAATGGGGCTCGCTTCCTCGGAGCGGCCACTCGGCGGCCCGAGTGAAGGAACCACGAATCAAGCTTGCTCTTAGCTGGTTCATCGGGGGATTCCCACTCTAGACCGAGATCGCTCACGGCCCTGGTAAGAATCCGGACGAGCTCATCCTGGAATGCAGAGCACTTCTCTGGAGTGCGGGCCCGCTAGATACCATTCACTGCCGAGTATTGCTTATCCTGTTAGTTTTCCTAGTTCCTGTTTCCTTCCCGTGTTTCCTTGTTTTGCCTTGCCTTGTCGGTTTCCTCGGTTCTGATCTTTGCCTGTCTCCCTGGATTTATCCCTCTAGTCTCGCCCCTGTGATTCTGTCTGCCGATCGTCGACCTACGCTAGCCCTAGGACTATTCTTGTGTTTTGCCCACCATATACCTGTTTGCCATTGTTTTGACCCTGCCTGTTATAACCACGTCTCTGTCTTCTGTTCAGAATAAAGCTTGCACATGGATCCACACGTCTTGTCAGCCCCATAACAGACGCGAATATTGATGGTTTTCACACTTAAGTCAAGTAAAATACCGCTTCTTAAACCAGAGAAGGTTTTTTCTAGTTAAATTTCGAGTTAAAAAGTCATAATTGAGAGACATAAAGTCGCAATTCTGAGAAATAAAGTCAGAACTGCGAGATATGAACTCACAATTCAGACGTTTTTTCTCGCAATTGCGAGTTTATATCACGCAATTCTGAATTTTTTTGTGAGAATTGTGAGATATAAACTCGCAATTGCGAGTTATAAAGTCAGAATTGTGAGATATAAACTCGCAATTCTGAGAACTTATCAGTTTATATCTCACAATTCTGAGAAAAAAAGTCAGAATTGCGAGATATAAACTCGCAATTGCGAGATATAAAGTCAGAATTGCGAGAAAAAAAGACAGAATTGCGAGTTTTTATCTCGCAATTGTGACTAGCCTATATCGTGCAATTCTGACTTTATATCTCGCAATTGCGAGTTTATATCTCACAATTCTGTGGAACAAAAGTCAGAATTGTGAGATAAAAAGTCGCAATTACCTTTTTTTAATTCAGTGGCAGAAACGGGCCTCCATACCTTATGCTATGGAGGCTCTCTCTTTTTTTATTTATTTATTTCTTATTCCTCAGTGTTTGCTAAAGGTTCTGTAATTTATTAGTCATTATATAGCCTAATACAGCGTGTAGACCATGCCTCATCTTATTCGTTTTTGTTAATAACGTTTTGTAAGCTAGTTTGTCATTGAATACTGTTTTATTGTTGTTGTGCATTTTAATTAAAAATAATGAATCCATCTTTTTTTTTTTTGTCTTAAAACATGAAAGGTCTATAGATGTAAGCAAAACAGACAATTATATTTTATTGTAAAACCTGACAAGATTGTTAAAATCGAAAGTGAAAGCATCCGAAGCCCAGCTTATAACATGGCAAAAGAGGAACTCCCATTCACAAAACTCAAATCGCAAATAATACTACTGATGAAAAAGAACGGGTTGAATGTTAACTACTTTCGTTTCCATATAACTACAAACTTTCATAAAAGTTAATCAGCGTGCATTGATTAACAGCATGTTGTAGTGCAAAAAACGAAACAAAACGTGCTTGTGCCAAAAGAGGGAGCAGTGGGAAGACTGAGTCTGGAGCCCTGAATTGCCCAGCTCCCTCTGTCAATGATCTACCTGCGTTCAAAATTCTCTGGCACCGCCCCTGGTACATCGATGTATTTTAGCAAAAATTAAGTTTGTTCAACTCTAAACCCAGTCCCCAAGTAAATTAGGTTATTAAATTAAAAACTAGCAAAACGAGTTGCGCGGTGTCCCCACCACTTTTCAAAGCAAAGTTACGCCACTGAGTAAAACGCAGCCTAATTTTCATTTTTGGGTGAACTAACCCTTTAAATCCCATTGACCTTCGATTTTGCAACAGAGTAGATAGAGGAATAATCAATTCAATAGTGAAACGTAGTAAATAAAATGATTTGTGTTCTATTCACCGTATAGACTTTTGCTTTAAACTTTTTTTTTCAGTTGATGCTATATGTTTAGTTTGCATAGGCCACCTGCTCGCCTTTAATAGCTATTTATTTTCCGCGTATAATCTCCTGTGACATTTTGACCACGACCAACATAATCGCTCGATAAGCCATAGCGCAGCGCGAATGTGAAACCCGACCCATGCGCGTTTAACGTAGATGACACACAAACGCAGTAATGCCCTGGGCTTAGCCTTTAAATAAGCATTATATAACAGCAGTCACATCGCACCGGCGACTAGAGGAAACCGCAGTTGTGTGGAAACTTTGCGCTCTCGTCTTTCGAAAACCGCGCGTCCGTGTCGATCTCGCTATGAGTTCGCGAACTAATGTTTCTTGTTTACACGAAGCCAAACGGGTGGCTATTTTTGGAGGCACACATGGAAATGAGATGTCTGGCATAACGCTGGTAAATATGTGGAAACAGAATTCAGCCGAAATAGAGAGAAACGGACTGCTGATCAAGCCGTTCATAAGCAACCCTAAAGCGGTGAAGAAATGTACCAGGTACATCGACACGGATCTGAACAGAGCCTTTACGCCCGAGAACCTCAGGTAAATAAACGTCTTGCACAACGCGTTGTTTTCTGTACAAGTCCGGCTCGTTTGTTTATGCTCGCTTTCATAAAACAGAGCACAATCAAACAATGGACGCGAAACTTTCGCTCTCGTGCGTTGGAGGTTTATTATCGCGTTCTGTGTGTGTTGTTTATTGTTGTCATGCATTCATCAGATCGACGTCTGTGGCCTCTGTGTTTTGCGTCCCGCGCCGTGTTTGAACGCTGAAACAGCTCCTTTACATGACACAACATCACTGAATCGAGCGATAAAGTATCAGTGGAGCGAGCTGTCAGCTGATCCGAGCCACTCATGTCGTGACTGTTGAGAACCGTGAGTGGAGTGTGATTTGGGTCATGAAAAGAGCCTGCAATATTGCATCCGAGACAACACGATACACGATTGTTCATTTTCAGGGTAACGGGTGTAAAACTGACTTTTTGAGGACCTTTAATTACTTAGGCTAAGTGTTTTTTGAATGACAGTTTTATAAATGTGACAAATTACAATTTCTACTCCAGTTAGTGGTTATTATTACTACAGTAGTTTGTAAGTCTGGAGTCTGCAGAAGTCTACAAACAATTGGTTTTTCCTACAGTTCCACTGATGTTACCCATGAAAAGATTTATTGAACACGTTTACCTTTTGTGACAACATGCCCCATCGCAATTAAACAGCCTACTATTTGCTTTCTGGTAAATGTAAACAGTAAAACAACCTTCACAAATATGAAGACTAGAATTTTAGCGAGGACATAATTCACCGAAAGTATTCCAAGTTAAAACACGTATGAACTAGAAATTTGAAACCAATAAACCCAATCCAAGAGAAAATGCATTTCCTTCACTTTTAAGTAGAATCGTGAAGTTGAAAGCATATGGGGGGAATGATCAGTACAGTGTACCAAATGTACCATGAACAGAGCATACCTACGTTTTACATACAGATATTAAAATGAACAGAATTTGCTGTGTGCTTAAATGTCACATTAAATACAGGGGCATGGATGATTTGTCTTAGAATGACATAAAACAGCAAAACAAAGCAATCATAAATCCTATTTCATTTATTAGACAATTTAAATACAGAATGAAGGTTGCAAATTGAGACTGGCATGTCTTGGTGGGATTATAAATTATAAACTGACCTTGGTCATTGATGTACAGTCAACCAGGAAACACCGCGTACATAATAATGTACTGTGAGGGGTTGCAAAATGTACACATCAAAACAGATGCTCACGGTTAACTGTTCATTGTTTTTATGCAGTTTTTTTATTCTTGAGCCAGGTGGAAAGCTTGATGAAATTCTCTGAGCATTATTTTTCAGTCCCCCCCTGCTTCGTGTGCTTGTTATATGCATCTCTGTCTGAAACTTATTTAATTCCTAATGGTGACAAAAGTGCATAATTTTGGCAATGTTGTGAAGTAGGAATATTGCTGGAACATTTCCTCTAACTCAGCAATTAGAGCAGTAAATAAAACGTTTAAAAACGTCAGGTTTCTAGTTTAGATTAAAAAAAGAAGAAGTAGTAAATAAGTTATTAGTTATGTAATAGCTGATCTTTTTGTCGTTCACTGCTCTGTTAAAAAAAAGTTAACGGTACACTTGAACCTAACTGCTATTCAAAAGATTTTTAACACCAGTGCATGCATGTTATTTTCCATTAGAACAAAGTTTTCTATTGATTTGAACTTCTAGATGTCTTATATTTTACTATTAAAGTTGCCATTTGTGGAATTAAAACTACTTAAATATACTTCAAAAAGTATTTTTATGTTTGCATTATGTAGCCTATTGAAAATATGTTTTATTGATTGACCTTTTTGTTATGTCTTGTTTGCAATTATTGTGTTGATAAGGATTTTTCTATCCACAGTGCTCCAGATGTTGAAGGGCTGCTATATGAAGTCCAGAGGGCCAAGGAAATAAATCGGATGTTCGGACCCAAAGGAAGCTCGGATGCATATGATGTTATCTTTGACCTTCACAACACCACCTCAAACATGGGCTCCACCCTCATCCTGGAAAGCTCAACAGACCTCTTCAACCTTCAGATGGTGCATTATATTAAAGTAAGAAACTAGATCCAATTATTCTGTACAATGATAATGAAATCATCTTGTATTTTGTATTTACCCTCTGCATCTACACTACTATTCAAAACTTTGGGGTAAGATACTTACTTATTTGCTTATGTATTTATTTATTTATGAAAGAAAGTAATACTTTTATTCAGCAAGGACCCATTAAATTGATCAAATGTGACTGTTAAGACATTTACAATATTACAAATGATTTATATTTTAAATAAATGCTATTGCTTTGAACTTTTTATGCGCCAAAGAATCCTGAAAACTATATCACAAGAACAATATAAGCATATTAATCAACATATTAGAATCATTTATTTCAAATAAATGCTGTTCTTTTTAACTTGTAAAAAAAATCTTGGAAAATGTCATTGTTTCTGTATAACTGTGTTCAACATAATAAGAAATGATAGTAATGAGAAATCTCTTTTAAACACCAAATCAGCAGGTTAGAATGATTTCTGAAACATCATGTGGCACTGAAAACTGGTGTAATGGCTGCTGAATATTCAGCTTTGCCGTCACAGAAAATAAAAATAAATAAACAGTTATTTTAAAATGTAATATGTCACAATATTACTGTATTTTTAATCAAACAAAAACCGCTTTGGTGAGCATAAGAGACCTCTTTCCAAAACATACAAAAAAATCTTACTGACCCAAAACATTTGAACGGTAGTGTATAATAATTGCTGTTAATAGTGTTCATCGTCTGTTTGATTACGTCTTTAATTGATTTTTCCGTACATTTCTGCCATATGTACATTAACTGACAGTCACCACTGATAAGATACTACTAAATATTGTAGAACCTTAATTTTCTGTAAAGTTGCTTTGCAACGATTTGTATCGTGAAAAGCGCTGTACAAATAAACTTGAATTGAATTGAATAGTGCACAAATAATTTGTTGCATGTATATACTGAACATTAAATTCTTTAACCAAAACATTCCAATACCAAGATTTTGCTTAATGTCTTAAAATAAACAAATCAAACATCTTTACACAGACACCTGTGCTCTTCCCACTTACAGAAAGCTATGGCTCCCCATACCTGTTCAGTACTCTTAAATGAACACCCACAGCTGAAGTATTCAACCACACGCTCTGTGGCCAAACACCCTATTGGTGAGTACAAAGTCCTGGGATACTCAGCAGGTCAAACCTGATTCTAAATCAAGTTTAATATTACCCCTGAAAGTCAGCCAGAAGCTAAGAAGTGGAATAAGCAAGGATACTATGAAAAGTCTAGTTATAATTAAAGCATCCAGAGCCTCTGCAGATAATTCTGTAGACATCTAGAGCTCATTCCGTGCCATTTGATGAGACTCCTTTTTCCATGAATTAATATTATAGTGGAAACCCAACACAGTACCAGTTGCACCTTATTTAACATGGTTTTTCACTGCTGTCTGTGATCAGATTAGACCTGTGACCCTTTGTTGGGTCACGACCCACCAGTCAAGTACTAGTGACTTATATAGATGTGTTTGTGTTGCAGGTCTTGAGGTGGGCCCTCAGCCGCAGGGTGTTTTGAGGAGCAATGTATTCGAGTCCATGAGGACGATACTGAAGCATGCGCTGGACTTCATCGAGTTCTTCAATAGTGGTGAGGTCAATCAAGGTTAAGGAGAGATCAGCATGCTTACTGCACTGAACCTGGAATGTGTTGCTATAAAGGGATTTCAAAGGCAACCTGAGTAGCCACAAGACAACTTAGTTTCTATATTTCCTATACAATAGGATTATTTTCTAATATAAACCAATAGTAATCATATGTGATGGTATGGACCGTGACAGTATGGGACCATAATGTTGTGTTTTTCAGATGTGTCACACAATTTGATGAGAAGAAAGAAAGAAGTCTATTATGCTCACTGAGGCTGCATTTATTTGTTCAGAATTACAGTAAAAACTATGAAAGGCAATGTACCACACAATTCTCAGAATTGTGAAAAAAGTGTATAATTGCAAGATAAACTCAGAATTCTGACTTTTTCTTGCAATTCTGAGTTTACATTTCACCATTTTTTATTTTTTTATATAAAAAAAAAAAAGGTAAGTTCTAGTATTTATCCCACAATTCTGACTTTTTAAATCTCACAAGATAATACCTCACAATTCAGACTTTTCTTCACATAATTATTTATTAATGTATTTAGTCATTTAGCAGATGCTTTTATCCAAAGCGACTTACAAATGAGGACAATAAAAGCAGTCAAAACTAACAAAAGAGCAACAATATATAAGTGCAAATGACAAGTCTTGGTTAGTATATTACAATTATATAATTACAAGTTTATATCACACAATTCTGAGTTTGTCACTATTCTGATGTTTACCTTTTAAAAATAACTTTTATATTTCATAAATGTTAAAAAATATTAATTTATTCCTGTGATGGTAAAGCTGAATTTTCAGCAGCCACTACTGCAGTCTTCAGCATCAAATTATTTCCTATACAATAGGATTATTTTCTAATACAAGCCAATGGTAAATGTGCAGTAACAGTATAGATCTATAATGTTCTTCATATATGTCACACAATTCACATTTTGTATTATTTTCAATAACGCATTTAATCAATGTGTTTCTCATATCGTTTATAGATGCTTCATGTTTACATAACTTTCTTTGCCCCGTGGCCATCCGTTTCTCTGCCAGGATAGTGTGTGGCATTTCAAGACAAACGGTTCTGCTCTCAGGTCATTGAATCAGCAAGCACTGACCAGTTTGAAGTATAGACTTCTTCAAGTTTATCTTCCTCTTTTTTCCCCCTCGACTGTGGAAACATTTGAACAAGGTAGTCACGTGTACTTTCAGCCTGACATGAATACACATTTCCCCATGCCTCACATTAAGCAGGAACATGTTGAGCTGGGCAAGGGTGGCTGGTTTCTCTTCTGGTTTTGCCGTTTTGTGACTTGAATGCTTGTTTGCTAGTTGGTTAGTTTCCATGTCATTGGTAGCTTGCTGGGTTTTGTAGTGTCATGCTGTGTAGAGGGGCCGCATTGTTGTGGATGAATGTCTCATTGTGAGCGCTCAAACGTGCTTTCTGTTTGCCAGTGTGGAGCCATGTTTGGACCACATCAACATAACAAGCAAAACATAAAGAAAAGTGTTTATAGTGAAACATGAGGAGCACTTCAGCACGTGTCTTCCTTGTAAAGGTGTAATGTGGCTGTAAAACAACATAGTATTGATCATTTTAGACTTGCCAGTTAACTTAAAATATGAAATATGTTGTTTTTTTCTAGATAGCGATAAGGTGAAGGATGATCATATAGCAACACTGTACCGTAATGTGAGGAGTGCCAAACTCTTTATTTAGTGACCACCCATGTCAACACATGTCTGACATACTCATAAACCTGACAGCCTGACATTAACGTATTTCATTAACACAGTAACACAATACAGGATGGAAAAATACTGGAAAATTTCTCAGAATTTTGAAGTGAAGCTGGCAAATAGGTCTGCTTATTTACTGAAATATTCTGCTTTAATAACATTTTCAGGCCAGCTTGATCCCACTCCCTGCTGAAAGAACCAAAGCTGAAAAAATATAGCATGACCCAAGCATAATAAACATGTTTCTAGATTTAACTACATCTCTATATAAGCCACTGATTAATACTTAAAGCAATAATTCATCCAAAAATGAAAATGTTTACTCACCCTCAGGCCATTCAAGATGAATTCAAGATTCACTTACTCACCAGTGGATCCTCTGCAGTGAATGGGTGCCGTCAGAATAAGAGTTCAAACAGCTGATAAAAACATCACAATAATCTAAAAGTAATCCACACCACTCCAGCCCATTAGTTAATGTCTTGTGTATTGAAAAGCTGCATGTTTGTAAGAAATGATACACTATTTAGGCATTTTAACTTTAAACTTTCGCTTTTGGCCATATGAGACCTTTCATATTAGGAGGGAAATATGCACAGATCAAGGACTAATTACAAGCAAAAATGGTTCAAAACAGTGATAAACAAATGTGTCAGTGGATTATTATGTGAGGGGACAACAGGGGATGGACTTTTTCATTGGAAGAAGCGTTATTTTGGATTAATGACTCACATTTTGACCAGAAGCAACAAAAACGCCTTAATGATGGATTTGTTTATTACAAACACTCAGCTTTTTACTTCGCAGGATGTAAATCTATGGACTGGAGTTGTGTGGATTACGTGTGGATTATTGTGATGTTTTTATCAGCTCTTTGGACTCTCATTCTGACGGCACCCATTCACTGTAGAGGATCCATTTGTGAGCAAGTGATGTAATGCAAAATTTCTCCAAATCTGTTCCGATGAAGAAATAAACTCATCCACAGTGCATCTTAGATGTGTAAATTTAAGGAAATTTTCATTTCTGGCTGAACAATTCCTTTAAGTGACAACAGACAAGGTCAAATATCTTTTTTTCCCTTTACTTTCCTTTTTCACCTAGTTTTCCGTGTGTGTGTGTTTATTTTTTGGTCATAGGTGTAGAGTTTCCTCCATGTACAGTAGATGTATTCAGAGTCCAGGAGAGAATGGACTACCCCAGAGACACCAACGGCAACATCACAGCTATGGTGCATCCTCATCTACAGGTATTAAATGGACCATCTAGTAAATGCATAGAGAAGTGTGTTTCTTTTGAAAGGAAAGCACATACCCTCAAGCGACGTATAAAAGCATTGCTCTTTATGACAGGGATGCAGGGAGGGGGAAAATGTGTCCTATGACTCACTTGTTTTCCACAGTATGGTCCTGTTCATTCCCTCTCTTTCTCTTTCTGTGTAGGACTGTGACTGGGAGCCTTTGAACCGGGGTGACCCTATGTTCCTAACGTTTGATGGGAGAACAATCCTTTATGAAGGTGCCAACACAGTGTACCCCACGTTTATTAATGAGGCTGCATATTATGAAAAACAGCAGGCTTTCACAACCACTTGTAGAGAAATACTATCTGCTAATGCTATCAGAAAAGCATTCAAGTAGTTTTCTCTTAAAAGTCACTATGACACTCAGATAGTTGACATGACATCTTTGTTATCTACTGTACTTTAACTAAATGTCAGCTTCAACATTTTTCTAATTCTGGAATAAATATAATGGAGTTTTATGACCTTTATTTAAAAAAAAAAAAAAAAAAAAAAGGTAACACCACACGACCATTTAGTTAAAAAGGAAAAAAAAGCCAAAAGTTTAATAAAATTGTCTTTAAAGAGACGGTAACAAGTCACATATAAAATATAAATTATATATAACATATATATCTATATATACCATATATAACACTACCACTGAATGAATTCAAATAAGTTGTGTTTTGTACTGAAAATGTTTAATGAAATCCATGTTATGTAATGAAGAATTTATACTCTTAGATTTTTTAGATATTTTATACAGTAGGTAGGTCTACCTCTAGTGTATGTCTGCACAGTTCAGATCCTGATGTAGTGTATGTGAAATGCACAAGCTCAGGAACAGTCTTCACTGCCCTCTAGCCTCTGATTTAACACACTGTTGACTCAAATACTGACCTGAAACAGCCTTAAAACAACCACAAAATAACCTCTCAGCACTGTGCTTATACGTCATGCATCATGGGATATTAATCATCTGTCAAAACTCTCTGTATTTTGCTGTTTGTGATGCAAAAGTGTTGTTGTCTAAGTCTTGGAGTTCCTGACTTCATCCTCATTCAGTGGTGCAACCCAAGTATTGCCTTAATTGAACAAATAGAAAATATTTTTTGTCTGATAGAAAGAGTTAAGAGCTCTTACAGTAGGAAGATAAAGTAATATTCAATAGGATTTGGTATACTATATGGTGGACTTTATAGATTGATGGATAAGCTCAGCAGGCACTGAAAAGCTTTGGCAAAACTGATTTTAGAGAAATATGTGTGCTTTTTCCACTGTGATTTTGTTTTGTGATGTATATGGCTTGTGTAAATTGTCGAAAGGCCCATTATTGTGAGTTATTTTTTGAAATAGTGTTATGTTTTAAAATATCATATCTATCTATGCAAGGAATAATATATTCACTTTATGTGAACAGATGTTTTTAATTTGTTCCAAATTGAAGAAGAATCTTGATGATTTTTAATACATTTACCAATTATTCCACACAGTTGATTACAGTGTTGTATGATGTCGTTAAGGTCCAGGTGGTATTTAGTATTGCTTGATAATGTTCAGTGTTGTCAAAATGTGGAATATGATGTATTTTAACATAATAGGCATTGTCACAATGTATTTGTTTTACATGAAGTCTTGTCAGTCTTAATGAGATGAATTAATGTGGAGTAAATAATTTCATAATATAAATGTATTATGTAAACCATTTACATAAAGCCACAAGAGATTTCTATTTTGTCTCACACAGATCTTTTCAAAACGAATAATAAAAAGTTTCTTTATTAAATCTGATTTGCACTTTTTAATTCAACAGATCCTCTATTATAAAAATGCTTTACCTAAAAATGAAAATTATATTTATTTACCCACATACATTTTTTTTAAAAAATTTTTAATTAGAATTATTTCATCGACATTCTTCAAGATATTACATTTTTTATTCCACTGAAAAATAATTGTTTACTGAAGGTGATGACGATAACAGAATTTTTAAAATTTGCTTAAAATTGACTTACCTTCAGGCCATTTAAGATGTAGGTGAGTTTGTTTCTTCATTTGGAGACGTTAAGCATTACATCACTTGCTCACCAGTGGATCCTCTGCAGTGAATGGGTGCCGTCAGAATGAGAGTCTAAACAGCTGATAAAAACATCATAATCCACAAATACTTGACTCCAGTCCATCAGTTAATGTCTTGTGAAGCAAAAAGTGTTGTACATGTAAGAAACAATGCCATCATTAAGGCGTTTTAAATTTAAACTGTAATTTCTGTCCAAAATCCCAGTCCATAATCCATAATAATGCTTCCACCAGTGTAGAAGTCCATCCCCTGTTGTCCTCTCATATCAAAATCCACCAACATATTTGTTTAGGACTATTTTTGGCTGGTGCTTGATCTGTGCATATTTCTCCCGACTCCGATGAGACGACTTCTTCACTGGAGAAAGTAGTATTATGGATCGAGGATGGTTTAATTGATGGACTGGATTCATGTAAATTACTTATTTTGTTATGATCAACAGTTTGGACTCGGCACCAGTGGTATAAAGTATTTGAGTAAATGTAATTTGTTACTGTACTTGAGTATCTTTTTGGCTACTTTGTAGTTTTACTGAGTATCAAAGGTATTAGCAACATTTACTCTTTACTTCACTGCATTTTTGAATGGGTATATGTACTCTTTACTCAATACATAAGTAATGCAATTAGTCATAACATTTTGCATGGCACCTAACTTTTTCTGCGGCAGTTTATTTTTGCTACAAAAGAAGCAATATTTCCATCTACAGGGCATTAAAGGTGCTATATCTTGTGCGTTTTGCCCTTACTCACCGAAACTTGTCAACAAGGCTTCTTTATGAGAATACGAGTGCATTAGCAGGTAGTTGTGAATCACTGGTGTTTTATATACGAGATAAGGACATTACTACAGCTAGCGATGAGGCTGAAACCAGCACGTCTAGTGCAAGAAGACTTTGACTTTATAATTTTACTTAAAGCTGCAGTCCGTAAGTTTTGCCTCTTTGTCACCATCTCTATTTGAAAACCTGGAATTGCAGCTGTGAATTATCTTCCTTGCATGGGTTGTGCTCCGGCACGGCTCCAGCGCAGATGAATCTAATGTTTTGAGGAGAATGTGTGGCAGTCAGTCACCGCACCGGTGTGGATATTGTACTTTGCACTCACAGATTCTAGCCTACGTCTTGGAATATCTGACTCAAATAAGCATTTTCACCAGATATTGTCATCTGAACAAGTAAGTAACAAGTCTGCCACGTATGTTCTGACCAACTGAGGAAAAAAGCATTATAATAAATCGCGCTACCAATGGTGATTTAATCTAAATTAGCTCATATCACATCAAACCGTGCAAATTATTATTATTGTTATACTTTATTCTCAAATTGTTAATGTTAACAACATCAGCATTGCGTGACTATGAGTATAGTATGTGTGTAGATTTCAATTTCTGTACAGTCTAATCTCTAATTGTCATACCACTCGAATTTCATATTAAGACATTCTTTTAACCCAAAAAGCAAATTATGCTCCCTTCGAACTGGTTGTCTTTAAAATACAAATCTTGTGTAATCCCAGGCTATCTGTAGTCAGAAGCAGATTTAAAACTGGAATATAATTTAATTTCATTCACATGTGTTTCATAAATTTATAATTCTTTCTGGATTACAATCCACCATCAAAATGATACATTGAATTATTCTAGCTGCTATGAGAAAAGGCTTTAAACGATCGGCCACCTGCAGGATGTGATAGCCTAGTAGGCGGGACAACTTCTTTATGTTTACAGACGTGACATAATGACGCAGTGCCATGCTCGAATTTCCCGCGAAAACCTACCCGTAGCACTCAAATTAGAAAACATTATTATAAGATAACCGTTGTGAATCGGGCTAAAGTAAGGCGATAGTTTCGAACACTGGCTGGTTACGTACTTGCTCAAATATTGATTTCGGATCTTTTTTTTTTAAATTTACGGACTGCAGCTTTAACATTATTTTATTTGTCCGTCATATTGAAGAGAACTTTTAGAATGATATTGGTTTACTTATGCCCTTTTTAAGCACTTGTGCTTCACTGAGACTTTAGTGTCTATAGACGTTTAAGAGGTGTTGTGTTGACATTGATTTATTGGAATTTTGAGGTGTTCAGTTTTATTTTGATTATAGAAAATAAACGTGATTGCTCTCCTCACAAATCAACTTTTTCTTGCTTTTCACTGGCATTTCTCTTAGATGTTGAGGACTAATGCATCTTTGAGTCTACATTGGGGACCAGCAACTGAAGGTGAACTATCCCTTTAAGTACTGTTAAAATCAGGTACTCTTAGACTTATTCTCAAGTCGTTTGTGATTGGTTATGGACTTCTAATGGAGTCATTTTAGCTGTAAAATATCTGTACTTTTACTCAAGTATGGTTTCCAGGTAGCCTACTCTTTACACCTCTGGCCAGGCATGTGCACTGCAGGTAGGGCTCAACCTGTGCAGAGAACATGCCCTTTTTGCCCTTACACTCCGAAGTGCCCTTTCTTTGGTGGCGGTGTTTTGTTTTGTTTTTCTTCTTCAATAAATCAATGCTATTGGTCACCCTTTACATCTGTGTCTGTTTTACAAATATTTAGCCAATGAAATGTATTAAAAAGAGCTAGTGACTAAATCTTGTTGGATCCGCTCAAACTGTCAGTAAAACCTCATAACTCCACCCCCTCTATCTTGACTGAATGAACTAAAGTTCCACAGCAGCTGAACAAAGTCTTGCAAGGGTAAATAATTATCTTGTAGTTTGAATACGTATAGCGTTTTCTTTATGCAAGAAACACTGTCTATAAAGGCTAATATTTTATGTATTTGAGGTCTGAGACATGTGGGACCGGAGAGAGAGGGCTAGCATTTTCCATCTAATCATAGCTAATAGCCTACACTTAAATAGCCTGTGCATACAGTAGCATTTCAGCTTTTATAAAATGAGATTTTGGCCAAATGTATTTTACAACAGGAAAAACTGAGCGCCCATGTAGCTACAACAAACTTTGTAACCTGTTGATGAAAACGTAATGTGATGCCACTGTTTTAATGATGGACAAAATGCACATTTGCACACATTCGCTGGTCAAAAACCCTGTAACTGCATTTGAGTTTGACACAAAGCGACTGAGTGATCCTCGTCACCTAGGTAAAATATATTTCTAAGAAATGTCTTCTTTGATTTATGATTGCTGGTACACTTAATTTATTAACATTTAATCATATTATATGGTCGCATGGTTAATTCATGTTAATTCATGAACTTCATGTGTGCAAAGCAGAGAAAAAATTAATTGTATGTATATACACTGAAAAAAATTATAAACGCAACACTTTTTTTTTTGCCCCCATTTTTCATGAGCTGAACAAGAGATTAAATTCATGATCATCACAATTAAAAAAAAAGAGGGAGTACACGAGCAATTCACAAACAGAGGACCCTATGAATAATGTTGACAACAAAATAATACTGAATAATTGAGACTATTATTTTGTGTTATTTAATTTGTCATTAAGGAGTCATTCTATAATTAGGGGTACATGTCATGTTCATGGACTCTATTAGCAATTTTACAAATTTTCACTTCTTTTTCAGAATTTTTCTGACTTTTATATCAGGGGACATTTCTAAATAATTTAATACAAAAATCCAACAGATATCCATCTTTTATCTTGCAAAAATGGCATTCTATACTGGAATTTGCTGATTTTGTACTGTCCGATTTGGTAAATGTGAGGTTTTGCTCTTCAGATTAGCTCTAAAATACATGTTTCTGTATATATTTCTTATAAATATTTGTCCAAAATAATCATTAAATTATGAAAAAAGTGTTTTAAAAAATATTTTGCTCATGCATCTACATTAAATCATCCATTTTGTGTATGTCCGAGAAATCAGTGTCAACTGTGTTACTCCCTATAAAACCCCCTATAAATCAGCAATGGTTTGTTCCAAAGTCACATGTCCAACATCACGTGATGTATTTTCCTTTTTTGGAGGGAAATTTGAAGACAGTGTGGAAAGTCATAACTTCTCTTCAATATTTTATCTAGATTATTGTCTGCACATAGAGTAGATTAATTGACTGTCAACTGTGTTATCAACATGTTCTGGTGAACTTACTACCTAACTTAACCCCTACTAACTATTCCAAGGTCAGCAGTTTGCACAAGGCCTTAAAATGGCTGAAATGTCAACTGTGTTACCTGTCAACTGTGTTACCCCATCAACTGTAACACAGTTGACAAGGAATAACATGGTTGACAATGTTGGCAATTCAGTGTCAATTTATGCTCCCACTGAGTGTTGTTGATAAAAATAAATGCTCACACACTATTGTCATTACAAAGAAATTACATAGGAATTGCCTAAAACCATGGAAAACAATGGATAAACTTAACTGATCTAATCATGGCCACACTTTCTATGAACTCCGTATCCATAATATTATATACACATTATATTCACATTTGTCAAGGGTTAAAAAGCATTCAGAATTCCTCATGATTAACATAAACCTATATAATATTATAGATTTGGCATATATCTATTTCTGCTTAGTCATGACTGATAAAGTGTTATGATGTGATTGTATAAGTCCTTACAACTTGAAGTGTCATGATGCATTATAAAACGTAATTGACCTTTATAATAATATAATATATTCATTAACGTTATTATATATATTATTATAATGTGTGTGTTTAAAATGCTTTATGGATAC